TGCTGCGCTCAGCGCCTGCCGCAGGGACAGCCCCCAGCCCTGCGGAATCCCTGTGGCAGGACAGGGTCACCCTGGAATGGGGTCTGCTGGGGTGCAAGATCCTGCCAACCCCCCAGGCTTGGGGGACCCTGGGGGGAGAGCGGGGGGATGCTTGGGGCTGCTCTGGCTTTTTCAATGAGAAATATTTTGATGCTTTTAAAACCTCTCGTGTTCAGACTTTTCCCTCCTGGCCATTCCAAAACGGAAAGGGTTTTCTCCTGCGTGTCTCAGGCTTGGATATTTTGAAATGCAGAAGTTGGGTGAACTCAAGTGCTAAATTTTCCCAGTGTCCTGGTCACAGCCAACCAATGGAAAATTGAAAGTTGCAAATCAACCTGGCTGGGTAAATTAGAACAGGCTGGCAGACATTTAGCCAAACATAAAAGGAGACTTCATTTCCCATAACTTTTCTGGGATGGATTCTCTGCTCAGCTTCACACAGCAACCCTGGTTCTGAAGGAACACCACCACGGACCCGCAGCGGTTCACCAGGTGCTGGAAGCTGTGCAGGGATCTGTGCCCTGTGGCGGGGTGGGAGCTCACCCCAAGGCCCTGCAGATGGGAGCTGCTGGCCCATGGCACATGGTGAAGAGGCTGAACGTTGCCACCAAGGGCTGGGCACAGCCGGTAGCAGTAACCACAATAAGCTGCAGAGACCACCTTGGGGGCAGAACCAGTGCTGGGGTGCAGTGCCCTGCTGGGAGCACAGGTTTTGCCCTATGTGGAGCAGGTCTAGAGGGGAACGAGGGAGGCTTGAGCTGAAGCAATGAAGGAAATAGTGCAGGTGGGCTGCTCAAAGCTGCCGGGATGACACTGCCGTGTGTGCAGAGGCGGTGGGCCTAGGAGTGCATGGGAGTGTGGTCACCACATGGGTGAGGTGCCTTATTAACCACGTTTTACATATCAAGACTGCAGAGAATGGACCACATATATCGTATATATGTTATGCACTGTGTAAGTGTGTCCTTCCTTATGCATAGGCATTTCTCCCTGACACACATAGATCAGATATGACATGCACACGCCTGCCACTGAGCCAGGGGACTGTTCTCATCCAAAAGGCTCTTGATGTGCACCATGCCCGTTTTCTGACCACCACCGTCCTCCTACGTGCCAGAAAGCTGCCTGAAGCCGCATGCCTGATGCCGAGCCTTAGCAAATGACACCAAGAGCAGAGCGCAGGGGATCTGGTTTATTACTCAGCGGAAAGCGCAATTGAAACCCCGGCAGACCCAGTCTAGCCCTCCTGCACCTCCAGCGGAGGGACCGGCACTGCTTTGCCCACCTCGCTCCGCCGGGGCTGGGGGCTGCAGGAACCGTCCCCCCACCTGGGGGCAGCGCATCTCCCGGGTGCGGCGGACGCATGCGTGCGGGCTGGTGCGGGCTGCCCCTGTCTCTGCCCCCCGGCCTCGCCGCAGGAAACCGGCTGGCGGCCGCGGGCCGGCGCCGGGGGAGGCGAGGGGTTAACCGGGGTGGGGGCATCCCGGGCCGAGAGGTGTGAATTCCGCCCGCTCCCCCCCGCCCCGGCTGCCGCTATAAGAGCGGCCGGCGCGGGCTGGGGGGAGCCACTGCGGCGGCTCCTCCTCGCTGGAAGCCCCGGCGCTTCTGGCTGCCCTTTGAAGTCGGAGAGGGAGCAGGAGGGAGGGAGCGGCTGGGGCCGCCGCTGCTCCGATCCACCGCCACCACCGCCCGGCCCCGGAGCATCGCCCCGCCCGGCCCCGCCGCCTCCAGGTACGGCCCGTGCCGCCCCGGCTCCCCGCGCCGCCCGCCCCGGCTCCCCGCATCGCCCGCCCGGCCCGTCTGCAGCCTGCGGCGGGGCTGCCCCTGCCCCGCGGTGCCGCCGGCCACATCCCTCCCCCTCCTGCAGCTCTCTCGTATTCAAACACGCAGCTCTTACCGGCCGGGGATAAGCTGGGAGCGAGCTCCGTTACTGGCTGCAAGTCAGACGTGTCTGGGAGCTTTAATGAGAACCAAGTGTAAGGCAAGTCGCAGCCACCTGTACCGGGATACCCGGCCAAGCGCCGCGCTCCCATCAGTCAGTGCATCTGCCTCTTGGAAGGGGTGTCTCGCATGGGAAGGACTTTTCCAGCCTAGCCAGTTCTGTGGTTCTGTGCTGGACCCTCTCCCCGGGGGCGGCCGCGAAGGCGAGGTGGGACCTGGCGGCCCTCTGGAGTGTCTGTAAGCCCTGTACCACAGCCGTGCTGGCAATCTGTGTTTGCAAACTGCTGCAAAAGCCCTTACAAGAAGAAAAAGGGGTAGGAAAGAGTCTCTTTATGTTGCAGGTCTGCAGCACCGCTTCCACCTCCCTACTTCCCAAAGGTTCTGCCTAGTGACTTTTCAAGGGGAATTAATTTAGGGGAGAACACTTTTATTTTTGCCTTGCAGGCATGAGCTGCTTTGATTGCCTGGAAGCTTGATTTCCTGAAACCTGCTCCTTTCTGGCTCTTGCACTGAGGTTTACAATAAAACGCATTGTGGTTTTGAGCTGAGTTTTATTTCAGAAAATGCTGTTCTGGGTTACTCTTTTGTGAGGCAGATGGAGTAAGATGAAAGGCTGACACTTGGGATACTTAATTTCTGCTCTTTAATTGCAGGTGGTTTCTCCTCTATACGAACAGACTTCTTCCCTGGGAACAGATAGGAATTGGAGTGAACAAATTAAAAAAGGAAAAATGTTGGCTGTTAATTGAATTTATTTATTTATTTGTTTATGAAGCCTTTCATCTTGCTGTTGCAGGAACAGTTCTGTAAATGGGATGTTAAGATGCACTGCTGCTATAGAGCCAGGGATACCTCCTGTTACTCGCTGCCTCTTGTGCAGTACTTGCTTCTGTGTAAGACGTACTCCCTTTCTAGACATGCTTAGAGCTCCAGCTCACACTGCTGGGATCAGGTGCAGCCAATGGGAACCAGTGTGAATTTGTGGTTTGGAAGATGACAGCTGAGGTGGGATGTGGACTTTGTACTGTGTTAATGCTTCCACTGATTAAATGTAACTTCAGGATGAAGCCCCTGCAGCCGGTGGTGGCTGGTGTCACTTAGCTGACTGGGAATGCTGAAGAGGATGTGTGCTGTGTAACTCCTGCTCGTGACAGGCTATGGGGCTGGGTGAGAGCTCTGCTTAGTGTGGTGTTTGGTTGTTTTCTAGGATGAAGATATCTGAGGGGAGGTGGAGCAGCATCTCCCTCAGCACACAATCCCAGCTGAAAGGCGTTCTGGCCCTTCTCTTTGTGGGCAACGTTGCCTTTGTGATAGCTCAGGTAAGCACATTGCCTTGCTGGGAGGTCTCTGGGTTTTAAAATGGTGTGTCTGGGATGGGTAACCCCCAGGACCTGCAGGGCTGGTTTGTGCATGCATCAGGTCTCCAGCATGTGTGAGGATGTACGATTTGCCTTAGCTCTTTGGTCTCGGCTTAACCTAAGTTGTACCTCCTGTAGCATGCATAGGCCATTTCTAGGGCTCTGTAAGGCCATGTTTGCTCTTGGATGTGCACTGCTTCCTCAGTCCCTCCTCCCACAATAATGAATAGCTGGGACCCCCCCCAGAGGTTCTGTGCCCTAAAGGGATGCCAACACCTTGTTGAGGGCAGGTGTGTAGTGGTGGCACTGCTGGTGGAGCAGCTCCTTTCCCTCTGTGTGGTGACACTGCTGCCCACAGTGGCTGAGGGGTGGGGGTGTCAAGGACCTTCCTGAAGTGACCAACCTGTCCTTGCCAAGAGACCACATGGGCTTCCTCAGCCTGCTAGCATCCACTGGCATGGTCTCCTGCTGCAGAGTGGATTTGCAAGGGTTTGCTGAAGCTTTCAGTAAAGGTTTTGACTGCAAGTGGCTCTTCAGCTCCCTGAATTTGCTTTGGAGCAAGAGTCAGGGAACACCAAAAGGCTTGGAGGGTTCAGGGTTGTTTGTGAGCTTGGTTTTGCCAACTGAGAGAAACAATAAACATTTCCTTTCCTGAGGAATCCCAAATATTGCCATTTCATTCCAATTTGTAATGAAAACACAATTGGAAAAATGCAGGGCTTCTTGCAAGACGGAAATCTCAAACTTGACCTCGGATGCAGAGGGAAATGCTCGGTTGCTCAGGGTGGGCTGGATGGGGGATATCCTCATTCCATCCAAGTGGTGCAGGTGCTGACTGCTGCTGCTCTCTCCACCTTCCTGATGGTCCAAGCAGGACGTGGCGCAGACCTCCAACAGCCTGGAGGAAGGGGCAGACGTCACTGCGTACTGGTGGGGCGAGTGGACCAAGTGGACGGCATGCACCAGGACCTGTGGGGGGGGCGTCAAGTCCCAGGAGCGGCACTGCCTGCGGCAGAGGTACGGCCCCAGCTCTGGGGGTGGGAGCTGCAGCTGGCTGGGGATAGCTTCATCCAGGAGGTCATTGCTCGGTAGATGAGCACTGGTGAAAAGGTGCTGTCTGGCAAATGCTGCTCATGCAGAAGGCAAGCATGGCCCTGAGCCCGCTGCTGTGAGGACGCTGTGCCCTGGGCATTCCTGCCAGAAGGGCCAGCTGAGCTATTCCTGTGCTGGCCTTGAAGTTTCTCATGTGGGGATTAGTGCAGATGGGCAGCAGATGTGGCATAAGCCCATTCCCAAGGCTTCTGGGCACAACAGTGAGGACACTATGGGTGCAGAGTTGGTCTGCTCTGTGTGTGGCTCTGCCCTCTGGGCTCTGTGGTTGTCAGAAGGCACCTTGCAAATGTTGTCCCCAGGCCATCATCCCCATGATCCCTCCTAGGATACTGTAATATGCATAGTGGATGCTGCAGGTAACAAAGCCAGAGAGACCTTTTCTATGAACTTCTGTGGGATTGTAAAAGATCCCTGTGTGGTTCTGCTGCATGGAGACTGATCTTGCAGAATTAGGGAGAAGTATATTTAAATGAGGGGAAAGAAGGGTTTCTGATCCCATTCTGTTATTTCTTTATTCAGAAGAAAGTCAGTGAGTGGGCTGGCTAATAAAACTTGCACTGGAACATCCAAAAGATACCAGCTCTGCAAAGTACAGGTAAGGATATCCTTTTTCTCACTGGGAACACTTAATATAGAATATGAAAAGCTATGATTGCTTCGTGCAATGGCATTTCTGGTCCGCTCAGAGATGGGACAACATTTATCCTGTAGCAGTCACTATGTTGCCTCTCCAAGCAGCTGGTCTTCCCTTTTTTGGTGCCCATCACCACTGTGTCAGGGCTTTGGGACTTTTGCCGGCACTGGCGGTCATAAAACCCAGTGGGTAGCTCTTGTACCATCTCCCATGAGGGCTTCCCCTGGCTGTCCCTGCAGTGGGAGGAGGAGGAGGATGATGTGGCTCTGGATGGGGCAGGCAATGGAAACACTCCTTGCAGCCAGTTAAGATGTGCCAGAAACCTTTCCCACACTTTGTTTTCATCAGGATATTAATGTATCCCATTTTAGGAGTGCCCTGCAAACGGAAGGAGCTTTCGAGAGGAGCAGTGTTCATCATTTAACTCCCATGTGTATAATGGCAGAACATATCAATGGAAACCTTTATATCCTGGTAACAAGACATTCTTTGTGTGTTTCATAATGCTTAGCCAAATATTTTGATAGTTATGATGCTATAGCCTGCAGGAAGGCTCCTCCTCTGCTGTTTTAAAGTGATTTTTCAGAGACACAATCAACTGTCTCCCAAGCTCAAAGGCACATTTTGCAGCTGCAGTGTAGCTTAAAAATAAAATAACAACATGAATTTGTGGCTGTAGCCTGTGTAGGTCGCATCCCTTGAGGACCAGAGAGCTGAAAGGCTAAAGGAGGATGTGGGAGCGTGGGCTGATGGGCTGCGCTGGTAGGGAGAGTCTGGCTCACCCAAACAAGTGTCCTTAGAGCTGGGGCCATTGCTGGCTGTGTTGTGTTTTGGTGGCACTTACTCACTCCACACCCTTCATGTGCTCTGCCAGATGTCGCTGAGATGCAGTCAGTTGGCTTGGTCACCCGGGTGAGCAGCACAGAGCTGCAGAAAGCTCGTGGGGGTCAGAATGAGATCTCTGTTTAATTTTTAGGCACAAAACTCCCATCAAAATTGAGCACTAAAAAAATCATGGCCAATTTTTAGAGGTGTTGGGAGCCCTGGATCCTGCTCCCAAGGAGGCAGCTCCCAAGTGCTGGTTCTCCAGGTTCACAGTGCTATTTGGGTGTCTAAAAACAGAGATGGGATCTAATGTGACTTTCTTATTTTAGGGGTTTCTGTAGATGCCTAAGAACAAAACTATGCTTCATTAAATTCCTTGTTGCCTCCTTCTATGTGAAACAAGCCCCTGTCTTGCCAGCCTTTTTGGCAGGGTCAGCGTGATAGGACTTGGCTCATGGTAGCCTGCTTGGCTATAGCTGCTTGGCTGCTTTGTCCCTTTCCTATAGCAAGGGGACAGTTTCTTTAAACACACTTGCTCTTTGAGATGATTCACCAGAACAGTTACAGTGAATTGTTTTGTGTTTTAGCAGGCGTTCACGTGGCTCCTGGGGGATTTGCAGGATAAGTTTTGACACTGATGCTGTCTTGCTTGGGCACACAGGCCAGTGGGTATATGCTGCTCACTAGCTGGAGTTCAACACTTAGTGCTGGGCTTCTGATGCATATATGAATGTCATTTACTTCCTGTGGATATTGCCAATGGATGCAGCCAGCCAGTTGCCTCCAGAAAGCAAAGGGTGACTGAAGTCCAGCTTGGGTGAATGTTTATGGAAAGGTTCTTATGTTTTGAGCTGCTATGGGTTTGACTATAGTCTTACTTGTGTATGTATTTATATGTCTATGTTAATTTAACTCATGTATTAGATGTTGATATGTAAGCATGCATATGTTTTTATGTAGTGTGTACATATATCACTGCTGCAAGTCCTTGCACAGAACAATGGCAGCTGATGCTTCAGTGCCTCCCTGGGCTGATGTTAGTGGTATCTGTAGCATCAGGAGAGGCATCTGCTCCTGGCAGCAGAGGGCTGCCTGGCTGCGCAGAGGCTTGCAGCAGTGGGCTGCCACACTGTCAGAAGTGCTATCTTGTGTCCAGCATAGAACACAAGAGATGGTGGCTTCTGATCGCTGGCTGCTGTTTAGTTGTGCTGCTGCTGCTGTTTAGTTTGGCAGAGATTCATTGACATTGGTAGGATGAAAGTTTTTGTGTTTCTGTTGTTTTGAATGTATCTTTATATGCTTTCCCCTTAGATGACTATGTTCACATTTCTAGCAAGCCCTGTGACCTCCATTGCACCACTGTGGATGGTCAGAGACAGTTAATGGTTCAGGCTCGGGATGGAACATCCTGCAAATACACTGATTTCCGAGGGGTTTGCGTGTCTGGAAAATGTGAGGTTGTTAAACATTATAGCAAAAATCTTGTTAGTAGCATTCAGAAAGCTACAATGGGTGCAACATTTGCCTGACCCTCAATCCTCTGTGCGATTGTAGCCGATTGGATGCGATGGCATTCTCTTTTCCACCCACACCTTGGATAAATGTGGAGTTTGCCAAGGAGATGGGAGCAGCTGCACTCACGTCACCGGCAGTTACCGGAAAGGAAATGCTCATCTGGGTAAGGCTGCTGGGGACCTTTTGCTTTATTTGAATCAGGGCTATTTTTTTAAATCAACTTATCTTTTTGTAAATTGCTTGCAGCTCTTATCATCTGCCTGCTTCAGCTCTTCCACGTGTTCTATGTGTGTTAATGCCACTTGTGATTTGGGCAGGGAAAGCCTTCCTTAAAGAAAACCAGTAACTCTGCTTGGTGCTTGTCAGAAGCCTGAGGTCTCTGATGCTGAACGGTGAAAAGGGTTATGCAAGAGGCTGGTGCCTATTTTAGGCTTCCTCATGATCCAGTAAGACTAGAAAGAAATGACTTGTTCTAACAGGAAGCAGGGATATTTTGAAAGACCAGGATTTCCAGAATTAGTGAGATGTGAAGCAACAGAACCTACTTGTCCTAAATACTGCAGTCTGACTCAGGAATAATAATCAGTGCGCTCTGAGGATCAGTTTAAGATGGAACCGGCTGTAGGAACTTCAGTGGCCTTAGGAGGTCTTGTCCCATCACTTACCTAGTGCTAAGAGGCCTCGGAGTTGTAATCTCTTGCTGGGGCTTTGGGAAGACTGCCTAGCACAGGGTTCAGTACTGAACCACAGGACTGCTTCACTAGCAACAAAGCAGTCTTCAGGTATAGATCCTTGCAGCAGTTTAGATAAATGTGATACCTGTGCAGGTAAAGGTTGCATCCTGTCCCTTTCTTGCTTGTGTTTTTCCACCGTAGAGCCAGGACGTGTAGTTCACACAGTTCTCTCTTATTGCTGAGGTTCTGTTTGCAGCCTAAATTATCAATATGAGTTTTTTAATCCACTGCTTACCAAAAATGATCATAGAAGAAGGCCAATGGGCTCAATAGTTGCAGTATTGCTTCAGTGTGTTGTTCAGAGTATCTGTTACAAAGTTCCTTTCATTAATCTGTAGTTTCCCATAGGCTATTCCCTGGTAACACACATTCCTGCTGGAGCAAGGGATATCCAGATAGTAGAGCGGAAAAAGTCTGCAGATGTTCTGGGTGTGTATAACCTCTTGGTACTTCCCTAGCATGTGTGCCTATGCTAGCTAATGCTTTTTCCAATGTGAGGCAGAATGTGTACATAGAATATTACAGAATATTGCACCATGTTGGTGTAAATCACAAGCACGTTGTCTAAGCCAGTGCATTTCTCCTTCCTTTAGCCTGAGCCCCTGGTCTGTATGTGTCACCACTCTGGTTGCTTGAATGCAGAAACTGTTGGTCAGTATTACTGCTGCTTCAGTGTGGTGTGCTGGATCACGGATAGCCAAGTGACTTCACCTCTCTTGTGATCTTGATCTTCTGCTTGGGGAATGGCCACATGACAACAGCACCAAGGAGCTGTGACCTGTGCGTTGCCTTTCTGAAGTGTTGGTGGCCACAGCACCCATCTCGGAATGGAGATGGTGGAGCTGCTCAGGAGAAGTGTGGAAAAATCTGGAGGTGCCCAGAAGAAGCACAGTTGCTCACTTGGCAGAAGCCATTGTGCTCTGCAGCCTCATGCGGCCATGTGCAGGGAGAGGGAGACTTGAACGGAACAGGAGGATGTAGTACAGTCCCTGGGCTAGTTCTGGATGATCTGTCTTGGGTCACTGCTGGGTCAGGGGGCATCAGCTCAGTGCTCCCAAGGGGGCAGCTCCTGCTGTTGGCCATCTGACACTCTTGCTGTCTGCAGAGCTGTGATTATTCAATGTTCATGCTGTGCTAGTGCCAAAAGGGTGAGAGGAGCCACAGACTAGTGTAAGCCATATACTCAGGAGCTTGCAATGTAGAGGGATGCGTGACCGGAATGCAGGGCATATAATCACATGATAACGATATGTGTTGGAAATAAGTGACAAATGCATTGTAATATGGGAGAAACACTTGTTTTATTACTGTGACACTCTGGTTTTTATCCCGTGAGTGAACAAGTGGCACTATTGCATTCCTCTTGCCTTGGGATGGCACTGATTTATTTTTTTTCCTCTCCTGTTGGAAGCTGTGGCTGATGAAGCTGGGTACTATTTCTTCAATGGGAACTACAAAGTTGACAGTCCAAAGAACTTCAACATTGCAGGCACAGTGTTTAAGTACCGCAGGCCCATGGATGTTTATGAGACTGGCATAGAATATATTGTTGCACAAGGACCGACAAATCAAGGGTTAAATATAATGGTGAGCTTTGACTTTTCAAGTTAGCAGTGCTGGGGCTGATGGGGAAGAGAAAATCTTTGTTGGATTGGGAAAGGGGTGGGCATGGGGCAGACTCACAGCTCCCTGGGCAGCTTGAGGAGGGGAGTGGGAGTGAGGACTGTGCCTGGTTCTTATTTTATTTGCATCAGTGCTGTTGGATGCAGGCAGGGCTGTGAGTAGTGAACGTGGGCTTGGTAACTCCCCTCTCTGCAGTGTGAAGATGCCTCAGGCACAGATGGAGGATTTCTCTTCCTTGGCATTTTTATCCAAGTTACCTGGCAGGAAAAGTAAAAATAAGAAATTGGGCCAGACAGCTTAGACAAATGCACAAAACTTAAGCCCCAACTCTATTGAAAGCAGCCCATTTAAAGTCAGGCATACAAAGAAAAGTCATCTAATTTTCTTCTGGGCAGTGCCATTGCCATGTAGCTCCAGGCTTCTCTGGAACAGGGAAGGAGGGATGCTTGGGTGCTTATAAAGCGTAAAACCAGTAAGAGGTTGTAGTGCATCATCTGTGAGTCCCTATCCCCAGTAGCCACAGACATGGGTTTGCAGGTGATGGTCAGTGACTTCTCAAGGGGCTCTCTGCTCACAGGAGGAAGTGTGACCTGTGGCTCCCAATCCCTGTGCTGGGGCTAATCCCTGAGGCAGTGCTGCCAAATAACTCTTGGAAAATGGTGCTGGGCTCCAGTTGTAAGAAGCTGGCAGCATGAATCACAGAGGCATAGAGTACCAGGTTGGGAGGGGACCCCAAGGGTTACATGGTCCAACCTTTCTTGGCAAAAATACGATGGAAAACAGATCGGAAAAGCAAGGTAGATTCTCACCAACTGTCAAGTCCAAGATGAATCACAAGCTTTGCATGCCATATACTCACTGCATCCGCTGATCGTTTGTTTGCTAGGTCTGGAATCAAAATGGCAAGAATCCATCCATCACATTTGAATACACCCTCCTGAGGAAGCCACACTCAAAAAATCTGCAGCCCATCTACTACACCTTCTCTGAGTCAGACAGCGAGGAAAGCAGAGAGTTCGATGGAGATGTGCCATTGGGTTTTATCCAGCACAATGCAACCTATTTTGGGAAAATCTCCAGGGAAAGGATAGACTTGGAGAACCAGGTGTTTGGAAGTCAGGACATGGAGGAAGATTTGAACTTGAGCAAAGGTCAGGAAACCAATGAGGTCTATGAAAGAGCAGAAACAATTGACTGTGAGCCAAAACTGAAGGGCAAACAACCCCAAGGTGAGGAGGAGACTTGGGCCTCAGTGTTGTGTTTCTTGGAGCTCTTGTTGAGCAACGCTCGGTTTCTACCTCTGCTGATTCTGCTGGCTCATTTTTTTTGACACCTTGGAAAGTTTTTAAAACATCTCTGCTCGTAAATCCTCTTTGCCCTTCAGGTTCTGGTTTCTGGTGGGTGGGGGGTGGCCATGGGTAAGGTCTCCCCGCTGGTGCCCTGCTGGGCTTTGCCTCATGCCAAGGACAGGAGAGAGCCCTGGGTGCACAAAGCTCCCTGACACATCTGCTGTCACCTTCTGCCTCTCAGTGGCCTCCAGCAACGTCCCTCCTCCTCCTCCCGTCCCTCGGGCATCCCACCACCAAACTGCCTTGAGTGCATTCCCAGTACGGCTGCATGGGCTCTGGGTCCAGGACAGCATCTTCCTTTCTGACCTCTGCTATTGCTTGGGGCAGTGCTGGCAGGTGCTGAGCTCTTTTCTGGCCATGTGCTAGCAGGGTAAGACCCACAGAGCTGCACCCCCTTCTCAAAGGGGTACAACACCATCAGTTTTCTCCTCCCCAGGAATCCAGCTCCTGCCTCTGTCCCCCTGGGCTGCTCAGGCTCTGCCATGTCCCTGCTGCTGCAGGCTGCTTTTGCCTCCCAGCCTGAATGCGTTTTGTGGTTGTCACTGTTGTTTTCCCCCTGTTGGCTCCAATCTAGATTCAAACGTAACCAGGTCTACTTACCAGACAGACCATGGCGACAGAGGCTTCGACCCCAGGTTCACCTCGAGGGAATTCCTTTTGGAGAATGCCATCACGGACAAGCTGCGGGACAAGACCTCGGACTCCAAGGAGCTGATGCTCAACATGACCATGAACAGCATCTTTGCCCAGGGAGACCCAATCAACTCTGTGGGGTCACAAATTGACAGTCTTTATGTTGACTATGAGGACACTGATGGTGGTGTGACCTACACCAGTAACAGCACTTACATGGAGCTGAGCAACAGCAAAACTGGCAATGCTTCTGCAGAGACACAGTTTTCAAATGCCACTGTCACCATGAGCAGCCCTCAAGGGAACAGAACTCACAAAGCAAGGTAGGAGATATGTCCTTTAATTACAGTAAATCCTATTTATTGCTATTCTTGCCTCAGCCCTGTACTCAATGCAGACCCCATTGTGTGCTTTCTGTCTGCTTTGGAAGCCCAAAGGTAAGTGGGGGTAGAATGTTGTATGTGAATACTTTCTGTTGGTGATTAATTTGGAAGGAAGGGCCAGGGGTTTGGGAGCAGAAAGTCAAGAGAGCATTAAACAAGAGGAATACTTGCTGTCCTCCTCAGTGGGGATGTTGGCAAGTCCATGCTGATGGCTGTCAGCTTATGCATTGCTGTCTGCCTGTCATAGCTTGTTATCAGAGCCATGACTACAAGGAATCGCGTTCCTCTTGCCTCTCTTGATGTCCTGCTCTGATTCCCCAGGCCCTTCCTTCTGAGTTCTGATGCAGCAGAAGTTGGTCTTGGCCCCTTTTTACCCACCCTGTTGACTGCCACTCTATCCTCAGTTGTGTTGGCAGGAACATGCTCCCAGGCATGGCCCTGCCTGTTTTAACCTGCTGCTGGAGAGGCAGAGTGGGACATGAGGAGCTCCTTGGTAGGGCCTGCAGAACTAGCCCAGGTTTGCTGCTGTGACAGAAACAGAAACAGTGAAGTTAGTCACAGCTTTGACAAGAATATCAAAAGCTCTCCAGTGGCAGCTCATTGACTGGTATTAGGATTGCCACTTGGGATTCATTTTAACAGCTGGTTTGGACTGGTAGTGTTACAAAGTGCAGTGGGAAGTAATGAAGAATTAATCTAGCCATAGTAGCAGAGTTTGTCCAGGCAAGGATGGGCTGGGTGAATGGGAGCCTCAGGTTACTGCCTGTCCAGTCTGTGTCTAGCATTTTACGGAAGTGCCCTGATGCTGTCTTGGGAGCAGATTTTAGTCCCAGCCCATGGGAGCTCATCCCCAGTGTAGGCACACAGGGCTGAGATGGGACCATTGCTGCAGGATAGCAGTTAACGCTCTGCGTGTAGGTACTGGTCAGTGCATCCCCCAGAGAGCTCGAGCTGCCACTGAGGCCTTGGGAGTCATCCAGGTCACAGACCCACAGCTGTGGGTTTGAGTCCCACTGTGCACCCCCATGGCACCCACTCCTCCCCTGTGGGTCTCCTCCTGGCTATGCTACCTTGACTCTTCTGTCTCCCAGTCGCCACCAATAAAACATGGGTTGTTATGCTGAGCTCCAGAAGATAAAGTGTAAAGCACTGAGCAGGTGCTCTCCAGCTGTAGTCAGGTGTATTTCCCCACAGCTTGTTCTAGATTATGCTAAAGACACTTATGCTAAGGAAAATGTTCATGTAGGCAAATGTATCAAGAAACTTCTTAAGGATAGGCACATTAAACCATTGCCAAAGGTTTGAGTCTGTCATCTCGTCTTGTGGCTTCGTGTGGAAACTTTGCCTTCAGCTGCCAAAGCAAGCATTGCCTTAACCCTCTGACAGATAAGGGCAGTGCTGTCCCCTCCCTGCTTTCACATGCCATGGGGTGAGGGAGGAGGTTCCCTGCCCCTGGGGGCTCCGCAGCATGCTTCCTCGACTGGCCCCCTGTACCCCAAACCTCTCTCCCAGTAGCTGTTAAATGGGGCTAGTGCCTTCCTCCTCCTAGGAATACAGTGACCTTTATGTGTGCCAAGTGTCAGAGCAGTCACAAAAGACTGTCAGAGGTTCTAGTAGCGTTTTGTAGTGCTAAAAACCACTTGCACTACCCCTGGCTGCCTGTCTGTTGAAGACATGGGGCAGGGGGTTAAAACCCTTCAGGCGTGATACCCAGCACTGCTCTCTTTCTCCACCCACCTCCTCCCAGTTCTTCCCTAGTTCTGTTCTACAGCACTTCCCCTTCCCACCACTCTCTCTAGAATAAATGATGAACTTTCAGATATAAGTGTTAACATGCAAAGATGTTTTGCACTAGCCGAAAGGCTGTGTCCAGGCCCAGCTGGAGCTGGCAGCTGGCACAGCAGGATAAAGCCCCTGCTGCTGGTAGGAGGCAGGTTTGGGTTTGGCATGTCTGGGGCAGGATGCTGGAGGCAAGTGAAGAGCGTTGGGGATTGGACTTGTTCCTCCAGGAGGAGGGGAAGGTTCAGGGACAGCTGGAAGCTGTGCTGAAGGGAATGGCAATGGGGCACAAGGGGAAACATCTTGCACTGGGTGGGGGATCCCCATCCTTAGAGCTCAGCTAGACTGGACTGTGCAAGGCCCTGTGGGACCCAGTCTGTTACTGGGGTCAGCCTAGGTCTGGGCAAGAGCATGGACTTGAGATCTCCTAAATCCTTCGCAGGCTTAGCTTGGGATGGATGGTGGCTTTTGCTCACTTTCATTTCATGTCAATGAAGATGTACAGGAAGATAATCTCTTTGCATGCTGTATCCAACAAGTCTATTCATGTGGGGTAGTGTTGATTAGAGGTGGGCATCTTACTTCTTGGCAAACAATTGTAATTCTTAGTGTGGATGGAGTGTAGGCACATGTTGCACCAGTGTGGTGTGTTATAATTCCTCTTTGGGAACAAACCTCCCTGGGCAACGTCAGGTGGGTGACTCTTGTGCTGTGGTAGGGATGCAGTGCTGTTTTTCCTCTCCTGGAGTGGAAAAACCCTTTCCATGGCATTCCAGGGCAGATCTGGGCACCCTTTGTCCTTTACTCCGTGCTGTTCGTGCCATGTGCAGCCAGGACTGATCCTACAGCAGAAGCCATGAGTTTCCCTCTTTGCTTCAAAATAAAAACTCAAATAAACCCCAGAACTGTGAGCCCAGGGCTCTGGCTGCTGACCTCTGGTGTTTGTGTGCACTCCAAAAGATTCTTCTTCTGCTACAGGGAATGTTTTGGGAAGATGGGCAGCCCAGACCGCAGCTAGGGTCATGGGATGGTGATGACTTCCGGTGCTGTTGCATGCTTGAAAAGCAGAAGCAAAGTGCAGGCAGGGAAGAAAACACTTGTCTTCATCATAAAGCTTATAATAAAGAGGAGAAAGAAAAGCAAAAAGCCCGGCAGCTTTGTGGGCCAGGGTACTGCTGTTGCACTTAGAGGAGAACAAAATGACAGTTTTGTCTTTGCTTGAAGTGGTAAGTGATCAACACACTGCCCTGTGACCAAATGTCTGATTTATCTGGAAAGAACTTGTCCCTGCAGCCTCATTATCCATGGAAGCAATCCTTTAGTTAGGATAACATACATTAAAGGGATGCTGTTACGGATCTTCTGTACTCAGCTGTGGCATAAATCTTATTTTGAAGATTATTTTTTCCTTTGAAGGGAGAGGAGCCCCAGTCACAGGGAATTGGTGGCCCTAGACCGGAGGATCTAGGTACTGCTTTTTCTAGGCAAAGTATAAAAAGCAGCTGTTGTATTTTAATGGATTTTACTGAAAACTCATCTTGTGACCCCTCTCCTGGCTGGGTGGCAGGAGGCAGCACATGGGGCTGAGCTGGGAGCAGGGGCTGATGTGGGTCCCCAGGCAGAGCTGGTTTGGGAAGATAAAACACTATTTATAGTGAGCTGAAGTTGTTATTTTTCCACAAAGAAGAATCGTATTCATTTCGGTTCCCTTTTAAACGCAGGAAGCAACCATTTGCCAAACTGACAGAGACAAAATCAACAGGGGAAAATGAGATTGTTTTTTAATCCTTCTGGAGGCTCAGTGCTGGCGGTGGAAGGAGGGTGGGTCCGAAAGGAAATGGCTGGATTCTCCACAGTGTCCTTTTAAAGGTTGATTTGATAGACTGGACCTGAACGTTTTCTTACGAACAATTAAATAAGGCAATTTCAGAGCTTCTGCTGCCTAGAAATCTTACAAGCTGCATATCTTGCCAGGCCAGAGACAACTGGATGTCAGGATACGACCTTGTACGCTATTTCAGTGTAGCCGTCTCAAGGGTTTGAACAAAGGTATGAGAACAGAATTGAAGCCTTCTGTTGTAAAGGTGCAGTATCCCTGGTGCGTTAAACCTCACAGCAAGTAGGATGCACTGAACTGGGATAAGCTGTTATTCTTGGTTTGACAAATGCTTTTTCATACACCAGGCTGACTCTGTTACTCCTTTCTCAATGGCATTATGTGTTTGAGCGCAGCATGGATATGAGAGATGCAAATTGCCTGCCCAAAATAAACCAAACCAAAACAAGAGTGGCAAAAGCAGTGGGTAGGCAAATGGCATGCCTTGGTGTTTAAAAGCAAAGTGTGCTTTGAAAAGCAAGCTTAGAAACTCCTGTGCCACATGTTGGCTTTTGGACGGAGCGAGCTGCTGAGATTTGAGCAGCAGCAGGCATGCCTGGCCCCACAGCCACAGGGGAGGAGATACTGCACCTTTAGTCGCTGTATGCCCAGGGCCAGGTGTATTTGAGCAGAAAATGCAAACTTTGTTAAATTCTGAACTGTTTCTACTTGTGGGTATTTTTATCCCATTCTCTCTATTTCTAGACAGTGGAAGCTCTGCCTCTAACCGGGCTGGGGATTCTACTTGGGGCTCAGGACAGGTATGTTGTGAAACAAACCAAACCAATTCAAACAAACAAACAAACCCCCAAAACTCAGAACCGCCAAACACAGTAAATCCCCTCCCAAACCCGAACCCAACCGGACTGCAGCTGCTGGCAGATGTGTGTGTCTGACGTGGCCTATCACCGCTCGCCTTGTAAATGCCTTGTTTTGTTTTGTTTTGTTTTTGTTTTTCTTTTGTTTGCTTATCGCTAGAAACAGATTGAAGTTGTTAAGAAAGGGCCAAGGTGTGAGTGCTGCTGACATGTACAGGTGGAAGCTTTCCTCCCATGAACCCTGCAGCTCTACATGCACCACAGGTAGTTATAAGAAGCAGCCAAATTCTGCACAACTGCTGAAATCACCTGGTGTGTGAGTCACTTTTCTGTCTGTTAGGGATGGGAAGGACCTGGTGCTGCGTAGGGGATCTCGCAGTCTCTGGAGCTGGTTTGGCACAACCCCAAATCTGCTCTGCCTGGGTGCGAAGACTGCGGGGGCCAGGTGCTGGTGCCTGGCTTGTCCATCATCCCGCACAACACCCTCCCTTGGGTGGGCTCCCAGTGCTGCCTTCACTTCCCAGCCCAGCAGGGATGCCCTGGGGCTCAGCAGGATCCCCAAACCCCTGCAGAGTCCCATCAGGTTACCTCATTTTTTTAGTTCCTCCCCTTTTTGAACCTTGAGCAGGGTTTGAAACCCTCTGCTGCTTCCCTGCATGGTGAAGTTCTGAAGATTGTTCAGCTCTGGCAGGAAACAAAACGGTGTTTGCCTTTTTGATTTTGTTTCATTTCTCCCACTCCTCCTACCCTGGAGCCTGGTCTCAGCTGCGAGGGTATAAATCTGGAACAGCCATGTAGACACCAGGATGTCAAATCTGGGCCTGTGTTCTTTTAGCATAAGTTCCCCCTTTTTGCCTCTGGAACCTTCAAACCAGCTGATCTCTCTCCTCCTTTACCCCTTGCTAAGCCCACCACTTGTGATGAAGCATATGTGGGGGTCATGTGCTGCTCCCCAGTGGCACAGTCCCTGAAATGATCCAGATTTGCAGTGCTCCTGGAACTGGAAAGTAGGAAAAAAGGGGGAGAGAGGGGTTTGCAATTGAAGGGCATCTCTTAAAAGAACAAATTGTAAGGATTTTATTTTTTAAGCATTTGTTCTTGCCCAGCAGACAGACCCATGCCCCAGTGTGCCGGCAGCAGGAGCTTTCCAAGCCGTCCCCAGGATCCCATCAGCCACGTGTCTGGGACATTTTTGACTTCTTTGATCCTCTCGAAACAAATTTCCCCCTTGTCCAGGCCAGGCTGCCCTGGTTTTGCAGCTAGCAGAGAGAGGTTTTACTTACATTTCTTCTTTCTCATTGCCCTTTCTTAATGACATATCACAGAGAAGCAATACCATGTCAAGAGCTGTAGATCTTTTTTTAGTTTCATGTAAACCATATGTTCCCGAGAGCTGCAGTTCTTGTTACCTGTAGCCAGAGCAGCCGCCTGGTCCCCAGCCAGGTCCCAGAATGGACTTAACATTTACTCTGGCACGGCAGGCTGTGAGGGAAAAGGTCTTGGTCTGACTACACTGACTGCCTTCTGGGGGAGCTGGAGGTGCCTCCTTGCAGAGCCCTGTCCTGGCCCACAGTGCTGGGTGCCCCTGGGGAGCACCCTGCTGCAAGCGGGGTGTACTGCACACAGAGCAGGTGGATGGAGCGGGTTGGGGACTGCTTGCTGTCGCCTCCACCCTTGAACCGGGCAGGGTGGGAGCTGCCCAGCAGACGCGTTGCCCCGAGTGTTTCCTATAAAACCGAGTTAGTCATGTATTGATCTTGGTGGCAAGCCCTGGCAGGGGTGGCCGTGCCTGCCTGCAGAAGCGGCCAAGCTCAACCGCACTGCCCATGTTGGCTGGGTGACCGTAGCGGTCCTCCCCTCCCAGCAGCATCCATCCCACGGGCCAGAAAGCCTGGCTTGCTGCTGGGAGGAAGCTTTGGAAAATGCAGCTCAAAAGAAAAAGCAAAAAAAAAAAAAAAAAACAAACGAAGTTTGGATGTCAAAATCACCAAGCGTCCTCTGTTGTGTGTGTGTATTCTTTTTGAAACTAGGAGTGATGTCCACATATGCGATGTGTGTTCGCTATGATGGGATCGAAGTGGATGATACATACTGTGATGCCATGACCCGTCCCGAGCCCATCCATGAGTTCTGTGCTGGGAGAGAGTGCCAGCCAAGGTACCGCCTCAACTGGGCGCTCCTGGGGGGCTTCGTGTTTCCTCTGCCATGGATGTATCTGGGGAGGGGGTCGGTGTGGATTTAGTGGTGGGGCAGCAGGGATGGCCTCTATCACCCCAGTTTGCTGGAAGTCCTGCAGAATGTTTCCCGTCTGATGTGGCTCTTTACCTGAAAAGCAGCCCTGCTGCTGGTCTGTAACATGGGCTGTGCTTGTTGGGAGGTTTGCAGCATCTGCAACTCTGCGTAGGACAGACCAATGTCTGCTGAAGCAAGGATGACTGCAGTGGTGTCAGACTATGGACAGGGCAGGGAGAGAAGTAAAGTCGTCTGGTGCATGCCCTGAAATGGTGTCACTTGTGAACACTGCAAAGCAAGACTACAGTGATTCCAGGGACCAGGAATGGCACCTGGACAGGGCTTGCTTTTGCCTTGGGGAATTGTGAAGGAAGAGTGGAAAGGAAAGCATGTGCCCTTAGCAGTTAAAAGCTAAAAGCCAGGGCGGGCTGCCACTGAGGCAAGAAAAGCGTTAGAAGGTGGATGGTGCAAGTGCTGGGAGCCCTGTAGACACCATGAGGACCTTAACCTCTACTTGCATTAACTTTGTAGTTTTTTAGCACAAGCATTAGGGGTCTTTTCATGCTTAGATTATCTCACTGGTGGTTTATAAGGCTGCTCCTTATAGTTGTGCTGTTTCTACTCCATGGGCTTGCACTGTAAGGGGGAAGAGCTGCTCTGTGATCACTGGTGATAGCAGCTTGCTGGTGGGTAAACGGAGGAACCTAGGAGCTGCCGGGAGCAGCCAGGGCAGTGAAGCACATTCATCGGGCAGGGGGGATGCTTCACGGGCTGCCAGTGCTTTCCCAGCAGAACGTACTAGGAGAGTTTTGCCTCATCTGGATGGGCTTTGGTTTCATCTCCCTTCTGAATTTAGGTGGCACCTCTAAATGTGTGACATCTCCCTATGGCTGCTGCTTGTGCCCAGAGCCCTGTGCGTGCAGTGGGGATGTGTCTGTCCTGCTCAGTGGCAGCAGCGGTGGCCCTGTGTTCAGAGGGGCTGTGAATTCTAAGCCAGTTAAATTTTTACATCTTCAACTTATTCTTTAATTGAGAATTTCTATAATGTTACTGCACTGTAAAGATCTTTACTTTTTATGTCTTTCCCCTTGGTTTACAAGCTGTTTCCCTCTTGTAACATCAGGACAGTTGTGGCAGGGACAGTATGGGGCTGATAGTGTCTCTCAGCAGATCTCAGCTCTTGCAGCCCATTGCATCATGACATTAGCAGAATTAGACTGATGCTGGTGCATGAATTTCTGTCCAACCAGGGCGCAGACAGCTTTGTGTAACATCATTGCTGGGATTCACAAGGTGATAGATGATCGTGTCCTCATCGTACTTCAGAGGCTCAGGCATAAAGGAAAGGGCAAACATGGGCTGTAAGCATGGGAAAGAAACGTGCTGCACACACAGGGTTTTGGCTGGGGAGTGTGCAGCCTGTGGTAGCAGGCACTGGGCAGCAAGGGTATCAATTCGTGCCCCACTGTGCTGGTGTCTCCTTCCTCTCTGGTTTTAGCATCCGCCCCTATGAGCATGAGCTCAGGTCTGCTGGGTGAAACCACCAGCAAACACTTCCATCCCTGGCAGTGTTCAAGGCCAGGTTGGACGGGGCTTGGAGCAACGTGCTGTAGTAGAAGGTGTCCCTGCCCGTGGCAGGGGCTTGGAGCAGGAGGAGCTTCAAGGTCCCATCAACCCAAACCAGGCTGTGATTCTGAGGTATTTCAATGATAACAGATCCCATCCTAGGGGAAAACCTCTTGCACACTGGCAGCCTGACCGCAGCTCGCTGCTGCTGCAGCTATCTCCCTCCATCTGGGAGCAGGCAGGGCTTCCTGTGGGATGCTCTGGCTTCAGTCCAGCCTTTCTTGCCCCCGCAGGTGGGAGACGAGCAGCTGGAGCGAGTGCTCCCGCACTTGCGGGGAGGGGTACCAGTTCCGCATCGTCCGCTGCTGGAAGATGATCTCCCCGGGGTTCGACAGCTCCGTCTACAGCGACCTCTGCGAGTCCGCGGACATCACGCGCCCGGATGAGCGCAAGGTCTGCAGGAACCCGGCCTGCGGGCCGCAGTGGGAGATGTCCGAGTGGTCCGAGGTAGGTCCTTGCGGGGCTGGGCTGAGCAGGGGCCTGCGCTGCTCCGTTCCGTTCCGTTCCTGATTTAAGCTCCTTGGTGCCAGCTGAGGCTCTGCCCTCAGCACACCGGCTGCAGTGCACCAACGTGCATCAGGAAATCTTTTTACCTGAAATGAAGCCCTGAGTCCTCTCCAGCACGAGGAAGCCACTCATGAGGCCTTTGACTGCATATGAGGTACTAGCATTGCCCATTGAGATGGGGCAGGAGCCCGCTGCTCAGGTCCTCCCACCTCTACTTCCTTGGCAGCCTCTTCGACCAGGGGAGATCCCACCTCATACGTGAATTGCGTTCCTATAAACTTCCCTTCCCCACCTGCAATTTCTCTGTGACTTGTGGAGAGTTCAACCTTTTCCCACTGTGCCTTAAGCAGATCCCTGAACAGTTGCAAGATGGTTTGGAGTGGTGCAGTGCTGCTCCTGTTTCAGCTTGTTGTTTTGCTTGGGAAACCCTGTGAAAGGGTTTGTGTCCTTGAGTTCATCTCCAGGCATAGTCAGTGCTCTGGCATGTCCCTTGCAAATGTAAACCAATGGAAACAACCAAATCCGTGCCTCTTCCTTGGGGAGCTGGGGCTGGCCTCCAAGCTGGGGTGGCTTGGGAGCAAGTCCCCTGTCTGCCATGGCCCGTGGTGCAGGCAGGGGAGCGCAGCGTGGCTCACGGCGTATGCAGCGGGTGTAACTGTGCCCCGTGCTTTGCCAGTGGGAGCCAGTGTTTTACAGGAATCTGTGTTCTCCTCCAGCCTGTGTCAGGGAGTGAGCTCTTGAGACAGTCCTGGAGTAGTCTGTACTTAGCCAGCAGCAAAGCTAATCTCATTTGGATCCCATCTGGAGCCGGGTGCCAAATTGGCTGGGGAAATAGGCACTAAAAAAAAAAAAGCAAGCATATTTCCAGGACCTGAGGATTAACATATCGAGCGGCGTGTCTGCGCGCTGCGCTGTGACACTTCCCTGCTTTATGTTATGCACGAAGCAAATGTGTGTATGTGAGACTGTAGTAACTCAAATCCAGTTCTAAATAATGTCACTGGGCTGCGCGGTGCCAGATTTATCCGCAGCACAGAAACCTCAGTTGTGCAGTTTGGGGAAAACGCTTTCCAAAGAGGGGGGAAGGAGCAGGCTGCTCTGGGCAGGTGCTAGGGGAGAGCTCACCCTGGCTGCGAGTGACAGCTAAAACCTTTTAGCTCTGAGCAGGCGTTTCTGGGGCCTGGGGCAAGATGCAGCCCTCCTGCACCTTGAGCTGAAGCTGCTGAGGCGTCTTGGGGAAGAGCGGTGGCTTTGCTAGGGACAGGCACAGAAAGCTGCCACCGTCTGCTTTTAGAGCTCGTGTTCACAACGTAAAGCCACAAACAAAGCCCAAACCCAGTCCCTACCGTGGTGGGACCCTGCTGATGCCGTCCCATTCCCTCCCGGCAGTGCTCGGCGCGGTGCGGGGAGCGGAGCGTGGTGACACGGGACATCCGCTGCTCGGAGGACGAGAAGCTGTGCGACGCCAGCACCCGGCCCCTGGCCGAGAAGAACTGCACGGGGCCGCCCTGCGACCGGCAATGGACCGTCTCGGACTGGGGACCGGTGAGACCCCGGGGTGGCCATCACTGCCGCTGGCCCCGTGTGCAGGCTTGCCTGTGTCTCTGGTGCTGGGAGTTTGGGGTCGGGCTCGTTACCCCTGGCAGCTCCAGCTATGATGAACCCGCAGGCAGCCTGCATCCACTGCCCACCTCCAAGTAATTCTGCTGTTTGGCTCTTCTGGTGCCCGTGTCACCTCTGCCAGGGGTTGCCCACCAACGCTGTCACCCTGACTGACCACCTCGGCTCTGCCCGTGGCACTGGGGGTGATCCAGCATCCTCATGGGTCCCACGACTTCCCAGTAGGTCCTCCTGGAGCTCATTCCTTGTGGGGGACAAGGTGCAGGAGGTGTTAAACCATAAAAGACCTGTCCGAGGACCTTGGTGGGTGTCAAACTCCTCTTGTCTCTGCTGCACAGCGTACCATGACAATGCTGATGCTTCATGCCCAGAAAATGAGCCTTTTCCTGTTTTTTTTTCTCCCCCCTGCTCTTTTCCCTGCCTGCACAGTTCTGCTACAGAGACCCCCTCCATCCCAAGCTATTTTTACCCAGGTTTTGATGCATTAGTGTCAGCTAAAAATAAGCAGTTTCCATGGCAGCGGCAGTGCTGTGGAACACCGTGGGGCTCCCGCGGCCTCCACCGGTGCTCAGCATGGGACTGCCTGCCCCGGTGCAGTGCAGGGGAATATCTGTAGCCACTTGCCTTGACCTCTTCAAGACCCCCTCGGGGTTCCCTGCTCGTTGTTTCCCCTCTTGCCTGGCTTGAGAGGTGCTGAGCTTCACTCAGCATGGGCACGATGGCACCGTGGGGTACGCGGCTGTGGTGGGGCTGCCCAGGAAAGGATGTGCTGTGCTTCCCTGCAGCTGTTTTAAATTGAACCTAAATAATGCCGCCATGATTTGGGGAAGGTGGGGGTGGGAAGGTGGCTGAGCCCTCTGGAGGCATCTCTGCCCTGATGTGGGGATGGAGATGGAGCTTCACTGCCGCTGCTGAGTGCCGCCATGCCTGGTGTGGTTTCAGTGCAGCGGTGGCTGTGGGCAGGGCAGGATGATCCGGCACGTGTACTGCAAGACCAGCGATGGGCGCGTGGTGCCGGAGTCCCAGTGCAACCTGGAGACAAAGCCGCTGGCCATCCACCCCTGCGGGGACAAGAACTGCCCCTCACACTGGCTGGCACAGGACTGGGAGCGGGTAAGTGCAGCACTCCTGGGCTGGGGTGGCTGGAGCAGGGGCTTGGTTCTGGGTGGTGACAGAGGGGGAATGCCCTGCGGCGGGTCTGGGGTGCGGGTTTCAGAGGCCCTGCTTGCGTCTGACAGTGCAACACCACGTGCGGCCGGGGGGTGAAGAAGAGGATCGTGCTCTGCCTGGAGATCATCAATGGCAAGATCAAGACCCGCAGCAGCAGCGACTGCGACGTGGCCAAAAAGCCTGTGGAGGAGACGACGTGCTTCGAGCGGCCATGCTTTAAGTGGTACACGACCCCCTGGTCGGAGGTGAGCGGGGAGAGAGCCGAGGGCAGCTCAGGGCATCTGGGGGAGGAATGCTCCTTCTTCAAGGTGCACTTGCCCAGAGTGCGTGGTGGTGCCCCATCCCCTCATACCTAGGGTCACGCTGCCTGCAGTACCCCAAGGAGCTTGGTGAATCTCTACAGGGCACAGCCCTCAGGGGAGCACCCAGGGGGCCGCTTCTGCTGCTCTGGCAGCTCTGGTACAATTGGGACTGGCTGTGCTCCGGGAGAAGAGGAGCGAGGGGAGGTGTTTGGGGTCAGCCTTGGCTTTTTTCTTGCTGTGAAGGGCTGTAGCTGGGTCGCTGCAAGCCCTCTCTAATGCAGCCTTCCTCTTCCTGAGGCTCTGGGCATCACATCTTGTTTGGTCTTGCAAACCATTATTGCAGCTTGTAATCACCCAAAGCAGCCTTGCTGTAATCCCAGCCCCCCGAGGTGCCCGAGGGGCAGTGGGCAGCAAGCACCAGCCCAGGCACAGCTCTGCAAACACAGGGTGCTGGAGGGGGATGTGGAGGTGCTTGCAGCCACCTTGGTGCCACGGAGCAGTGTCTGGACTGGGCCAGCCCATTCGTGTCTGTTTGCAAAGAGCAGCAGGAGAAGAGAGGGTCACGGTGCCAGGGGATGGGAGCGCATTCATGTATCCCCAGGCAGAAGCTGCTGGAGGCAGCAAAGATGGCATAGGGGGCCAGTGGTGCTGGACTGAGACATGGCTTTCAGCCAGGGGAAGAGTTCGGCTCCCTGCCCTGCAGCCTCCTGCAAGCACACCTGTTTAGCAGGTTCTGGCTTAGCACAGGTCCGCACAATCTTGGGGCCTTGCCTCAGCCCCTTTCTCTTTACTCCAGTGCACAAAAACCTGTGGCATCGGTGTGAGGATGCGGGATGTGAAGTGCTACCAAGGGAAGGACATTGTCCGAGGCTGTGACCCGCTGGTGAAGCCAGTGGGCAAGCAGACCTGTGACCTGCAGCCCTGCCCCACGGAGCCCCCAGGTGAGCCCCACTGCCAGCAGCACCCCCCAGCCTCAATTGCCGCTGATTTCCACCTAAGCAGCATTGGGCAGCGTCAGCTCCTACTGACCACCAATTTGATCATCGTCCCGGGCCCTTCTCACTCTGTGCCCAAGCACTGGGGCTCTTTCTGGAGGCAACTCCGTTAAATGGAGGGGAGAGTTCAAAAGAAGCGTGTGAAGACCTTAGGATAAATGGGAGCTTTGGAGCACTGACTCAGTGCTGTTTGTGTGATTCCAGATAATGTCTGGGAACTTGCATCTGTGCTGTAATTCTAATGATATTTGGTCTTCAGATGTCCTGCAGGATTTGTAACTGTTTCGTTATCTGAGTCGTCTGCTGGCTCAGACTCCCTGTGATGTTTAGTGAACACACGGGTCTAATCCTTTAATAGGATCTGGGAATAAGGACAATGTGGGAGAAAAGCATGAAAATGGGAGACAGGTTTGGGGTTAGCTTTGGGCTTGTCTCTGGCCCTGCTGGGTGCTCTCTGCTCCATGGGGTCAGGGATGTGGCATGGTGCCTGTGAGGTGCCTTGTGGCCCCTGTGTAGCAAGCTGCCTTCGTGTTTCATGCATCCTATGGACTTTAAGCAATATATATATATAAACACTATGGTTTTGAAGCAAAATACTGCTCTGAAGGGAGCTGGGAGAGTGTTGAAGCAGTCTCTGGCCTCCTCCCCGTCTCCAGCAGCTCGCTCACCCCTAACTCCTGCTGTAACACAGCTGGGTTACCATTCCCTTTCTCAAATAGCCTCTTTGGTGCAGAAAGTGCAAGTACGTTGGGGTTACTCCATGCCCTGCCAGGTCCTTGGCTTGAGGCAGCTCCCTGCCAGGCTGCCTTGGTGGCTCCAGCAATGCCTGGGCAGCTGTTGCACAGGGGAGAGCTTTAGCCTCAGGGCTGGGATGAAATGAGGCTCCCCAAATCAAGCTAGGCATGGTGGAATGGGTCAGCCTTCTCTGCCTTTGCATAGGCTGACAATGGCATTTATGGACAAGCTCCATGGTGTCTTTCAGGTGGTGCTCTGCCAGATAGCAGGCAGGGAGGTGGCAGTCACGGCCAGGATGATTCCTTGCACAGCCCCTGGTGCTTAGGGCAGGCTGTGTAGAGGGGGGAATTGTGCTCATTAGCTCACAATAGTTTATTTTTTCTTTCTTTTCCATGTTGGTGCCTTTTGCCTTCTCTCCCCCAGACGACAGCTGCCAGGACCAGGCAGGAACCAACTGTGCTTTGGCCATCAAAGTCAACCTCTGCAGCCACTGGTACTACAGCAAAGCCTGCTGCCGCTCCTGCCGCACACCCCACTCCTAGTGCCCAGCAGCACCGGGCTGCGCTTCCCACGGCAAGGGCTCCCTGTGCCATTTAGTAAGCAGAACACACCCCACAGACTGGTGTTAAGGAGGCCTTTGGGTTGTTTGTCTTTCCCATTGATGCAGAACTACTCTCCTGGTCCCTCTCCTGTGTAAGGACCGGTGCTGGCATGGCTTGGTTGCAAAGCTGTTACCTCTGTACATTGGTACCCCCCATTATCAGATCTGTACATAAAGTCGTGTATATTTGATTCCCCCGAACTGCAGACACATGCATGTGTTTCACAAGGTCTTGTCCTTTGATTTCTTTCCTCTGTGCAAGTTTGGGGTTGACAAGGGGAAGGGGTGAACTCTGTGAAGTCCAAGTTTCCCTTCACCAAGGGGGTGAGTGCCTTTCTCCTAATTTATCGTGAGCCCTGCACTCTCGTTAGCTGCGTTAATGTGGTGGAAGCCGATGGTTGTTTGCTAAATAAGCTCCAGCCCAAGCCCTTCTTCTGTAATATGTAGGTGTATACTTTCTCAGAGAATTTTATCTTATAAGCCAATGTTAGTTCCATAGTCCTTCCAACCCGCCCCATAATGCTGACATATTGTATATAATATGGAAACATAACTGCACTTTATATCACAAAAAAAGACGTGCTCTTTTTTAATATATTTGTTTACAGACAGTGAACTTTATCCATATAATCATTAATTTGTACTCATATGTATATTTTAATAAAGTTGTCATATTTATGGTGGTATCTTGTTTTATTCTCCAGTTTGTAGTGAGTGTTTGCCTTGTGTACTTGGGAACACTGCAGTTTGGGCTATGAACTTGCTCATCCATAGTCTCGAGAAACAGCAGCTCTAAGTCAGGAGAGTCGTGGCTGTTTGGACAGGGATGCACAAGGAAAGGCCCCAGCAGTGGGAGACTATGGGACCATTGCTCTGGGTTAGGGGCTCTCGGGGGTTATATGTGCAGCTTTAGGAGCTGCGACCCTGAAGCTTCTCAGGAGTCTGCAAATAAAGAGGCCTGATGCTGTATCAGCAAGAAAAAGACTTTCCTCACCTCATGTTTCTGCAGGGGTGACTCGAAGCCGAGCCAGAGTCTCTTCAGCATCCCCTGTGCCAGTGCGTGCACTGTGGTTACCTCCATCAGGGAAATGCCTGTGCCTGTGTGGAAGCTTTGCCAATAGCTCCCCCATATTTGAAGATGCAGAGACAGAAAGGGCAGCCCCAAATCCCAGAACAAAGTCATTTATTTCCTTTCTTTTTCTTCTCCTCCCCCCTCCCCCCGATTCCCTGTACAACAGATCACCAGGTAAAGGTTAGTGAAAGCCAGCCAACCCTCTGCTCAGTTTCCAAGCTACAGAGAAAGGAAGCAAGGAACGAAGGAAGAAAACAAGGAAAGCAAGAAGGAAGGAAGGAAGGAAGGCTGGTGAAAGGAGTACAGTCACGAGAAATACCAAGAGGAGGGCTCGATGCTTGGAAACCCGATGAGCACTGTACACAGGAGCAGGGCCCAGGCAGCGCTGACCCCCAGAGCAGAGGCTTCGTGCCCCGGAGGTGGCACTGTGCGGACCAAGCTCAGAATATTAAACACATAGGAAACCAAACCCAGCCCCCTCCCACCCTGAACAGACCCCCCAGACAAAGTCAAAGATGCTCATTTGCAAAGACTGACTCGTACTTCAAAAGATTTGCTGTGGAATTAAAAACCCTTGTGGTTAAAAGTAAAACGTCCAGCTGGGTGCGGACAGGGCATGGGGGCTGATGGGGCTGAAGCTGCAGCTTCTCCTTCCCATCGCATCTTTAAAAAGGAGCTGGCGCAGAGCACAGCCGAGGCCATCTGCGTCCTTTTGCAGCCAGCCCGTCCTCCACCACCATCCCCAGGTCTAGGTGGTGCTTTTAACCTGAATGCACAGTCCAGGAGAAAGGGTGTTCTGTCAGACAAACCGGGAACAGCGTGAGGCTGGAGCAGGGAATCCAGACAGGAGGAGCCAGAGCAGGAGCATCCCCACACTGCACAATCAGTGCAGGGGACATGTCTCCTCTCTGGTGGCTCTGGGCAGGGCTGTCCGGCTGTGGGAAAGATGCATAAAAGGGACTTTGCCTAAATTGGAAGTGTTTTAACACATTCCTGGATGGGCAGAAAGTGTCATGGCTTTTTTTTTTTGTTTAAAAAACCCCCTACAAATGCATGTTAACACGTGCATGCAGGAGAGTGGGCACATACATGGTCATGGTCTTGCTTGCTCAGTGCTCAGTCAGAAGTCACATGTGGGATTCATTATTTGGAGCAGGGATGCTGATTATTCAGAGGCCAGCCGTGGGTGTATTCCTGCATCTGAAATTGCACCGTATGCTATTCCCATATCCAGGTAATGCAATGGGTCTGCAAACTACCCTCCCCAGCCCAGCTCCACTGGGGAGCCATGGCGCTGCCCTGGGGGCTCCAGGGGCAGTGCTGTGCTCCCAGTGGCCATCATAACCCCGAGGGGACTGCACCTCACACCTGGGAATCAGTGACCAACTTGAGTGTGAGATGAGCTGGGCATAGGGCAGGGCTGCACACACACACATAGAGGACTGCACTAAGGAGCAGTGCAGGAGGGGTGGCAGGGGGGTGGGCAATCGGAACCTTGCTTTGCAATGGGATGTGGGGGGGTGTGTGTGTACAAGTGTGTACAAGTGTGTACGTGCACTAGAGCCAGGTGCTGTCGGCTGCAGAGTGTCCCCACGGCCCAGCAGCCGGTGCCTGCTGACTCGCAGCACGAGCCATTTTGCAGCCAACCGTGTGCCCCATCGCTTGCTCGTCAGCGCTTGGCCCGCCAGCCGAACGGTGAGAGGGAGCCTTTACTCTATTAAAGGATGCACAATATCAAAATCCTCTTTAGAAAAGGAGAAAAGATGCAACACAGCACTAGAAAACCTTGTGTCCCAGCTGCAACGGTCCTTTCCCATGCTCCCCTATTGGGTTTGGTTTCTTGCTACCCCTCCGTACCACCATTTAGCATGGCTCTGCCTACACAGTGCAGAAACATAGTAATTTTTTCCCCTTTTCTTTCTTTTTCAAAACTCTCCCATGAATTGCCGTGCTGCTGTGGTGATGGGTGCTGTGCTGCTGTGGTGATGGGGCTGTGCTGCTCTGGTGATGGGCGCTGTGCTGCTGTGGTGATGGGTGCTGTGCTGCTGAGGTGATGGGCGCTGTGCTGCTGTGGTGATGGGGCTGTGCTGCTGTGGTGATGGGCGCTGTGCTGCTGTGGTGATGGGCGCTGTGCTGCTGTGGTGATGGGCGCTGTGCTGCTGTGGTGATGGGGCTGTGCTGCTGTGGTGATGGGTGCTGTGCTGCTGCAGTGATGGGCGCTGTCCTGCTGCGGCAATGGGTGCTGTGCTGCTGAGGTGATGGGCGCTGTGCTGCTGTGGTGATGGGTGCTGTGCTGCTGTGGTGATGGGCGCTGTGCTGCTGTGGTGATGGGCGCTGTGCTGCTGCGGTGATGGGCGCTGTGCTGCTGTGGCGATGAGCGCTGTGCTGCTGTGGTGATGGGGCTGTGCTGCTGTGGTGATGGGCGCTGTGCTGCTGTGGTGATGGGCGCTGTGCTGCTGTGGCGATGGGCGCTGTGCTGCTGTGGCGATGGGCGCTGTGCTGCTGTAGTGATGGGCGCTGTGCTGCTGTGGTGATGGGTGCTGTGCTGCTGTGGTGATGGGGCTGTGCTGCTGTGGTGATGGGCGTTGTGCTGCTGTGGCGATGGGCGCTGTGCTGCTGTGGCGATGGGCGCTGTGCTGCTGTAGTGATGGGCGCTGTGCTGCTGTGGGCCGGCAGGCAGCAGCTCCTCACACATCCGTGCTGATGCTGCGGCTGCGGGAGAAGGCCTCACGCATGGCCGAGAGCCGGTTGGGGTTGAGCGCCTGCAGGTTGGCCACGCTCACCGGCAGCTCCAGGTCCTCCTGGCTCACCGACGTGTAGCTCACGCGGTCGCCGCCGTTGTGCAGCTCCTCGGGGGGCTCCTGCAGCAGGAAGGTGGGGGGCTCGTAGGGACCGCAGCCGGGGCAGCCGGGCCGGCTCGGAGCCGGCTTCTTGCTGAAGGGGGACGAGGCGTAGAGGGAAGGGCCATTGGTCAGCACTATGTTGCGGTTGCAGTGGAGCGGCGGCATGTGGGAGTGCACGGCGAAGTCGGGCTCCTCCTCGTCCTCCTCGGACTCATCCTTCTTGCAGCAGTAATACTGAAACGGGACAGCCCCATGAGGCTGCGGCTCAGCTGCATCCCCACCTCCCACCGGCCACTGAGGGGCACGTCCCTGCGTGCCAGCCGCGGAGACACCGCGCTCCCACCCCACTGCAGCAGCCCTGGGGATGTGTCCCCAGCCTTACCTGGAGCCTACAGTAGCAGAGGACAGCGATGATACAAAGCAAAATGACAGTCGCTAATATTCCACCTGTGATGACCACAGTCCCGGCTGTCATCCGCACTCTTCTCCATTAACAGCCTGCAAAAGTGAGTGCAGGGGGTGATGGGGTATGGGGGGGTCGGGGTGAGCCTGGCGCTGGGCGATGCACCGGGATGCAGCTCCCCAAACCCTCAGCTCAGGAGGCTGGCCACCTGGATGGCTCTGTGGGAGGTGATAGACAGGATCAGGCCAGATCTTAGCACTGGGCACCTGTGAAAGCCATCAGGGAGTCCCCATCCCCACTAAATGCCACCTTAGGGGCGGAGGGGGGTAAAAAAGGTTCATGCAGTGGGTGAGGAATTGAGTGAGCAGACGCTCTGGGGTCACATTGGGCTGTTCTGCATGCAGGACTCAGGGGAAATAAAACCTTCTGTCCAGCACCAGCAGCACACAGGGCACCCCCTTGGCTCCTGCCCGGTGGCAGTGAGCTTCAGGGATGGGAGAAGGAGCTTTGCTGTAAGGATTTCTGAGCTGTACACATTTTTCTCTGAGCCTATAATCCATTTTCCCCATGAAAACAATGTGGTATTTTAATTTGGAATAACTGGAGCTGCTAAGTGAGCCTTTAATGACAGCAGGGACAGGCCTCTCCCCTCCCGGGATGTGTCTGCTGGCTGCAGGAGGCACTGAGCTCCACGCTTTCACCATGGCCAGGCCACGGTGTTGGAGGGGCTGTGGGACACCATGGGATGATGTTTCTGACAGCCTCAGGCAAGCTGTTCAACCCCACCACAGCAAAATGTGCATCTGGGACACACTGTGCTGGGCATCACTGAGACACCGTGGTTCAGCTCACCCCATATTTGTGTTTTAGGGTACCACCGGCACCCTTCTCTCCTTGGAGTGCTCCTTAGAGGAATCCACATCCTGACAGTGTGGTAGTGGTGGAAGGTCCCTGCTTCTGACACTGCTGGTCTCCCCCAGAGGGCAGACGCTGTGCATGAGTCCTGCAGTGCCAGCACAGGTCTTGCTCTGAGCATCCCTGTCCCAAGGACTCCTGGGAGAACTTGAGTTTCCATTCCTCCCACACAGAATAAGACCAAGCTCTTTGCTACAGGAAGGGTGCTTGGGGAGCCGCTGGGGAGACCTGCGTGCACACACCTGCAGCGATGCAGACAGCAGCACCGCTCCACCGCTGAAGCTCTGGCAGCACTTTGGTGCCACAAACATCGGGCTGGGAGCAGGAGAAGAATAAATTAGGAGAAAAATCATACCCTGACCACCTACCCTACAAGTGCTTTAGCAAAGCTGGCCTCCAGCTCATGCTATCGGGTTAAAACAAAAAACCAGCCATCCCAAACCCAAATTACTT